GTAATTTCAAAAGCATAAAACAGATAAATTGACAGATATAACTAGAGGCTCTCAAGAGCCTGTGTCGCTCACCTGTATTTACTGATGCTTTGGAAATCATGTAAAATAAGGTTAAAATTATAATTAATAGTATTAGATATTAGATATTATAATGATATCTAAGATAACAAAAAACTGCAAAATTTTTGTAAAATTACTAATTCAGGGGCAGCAACCCAACAATGGGTTGTCGGATTCGTCTGAAAATTTCAGGGCAGATAAATCTAAATCTGATGAACATTTTTGCCACCTGTCAGATTTGCTCTAAATGCTTTAGTTTCAGAGATATAAACCAAAAACTGCATTTTACCCCTATGTTCTATTTTTAACCAAGTCAGTCATGATGGTTGGAAGGCGGGGTCATCGGACAAATTTTTTAAACTAGATACCCTAATAATGATTATGGCCAAGTATGGTTACATTTGTCTCAGTAGTTTTAGAGAAGATTTTTGTAAAAGATTACAAAAATTTACAAAAAATTGTTAAAAATTGACTATCAAGGGCAATAACTCCTAAAGGGGTTGACTGACAATTTTGGTCATGACAACTTATATGTAGATCTCACTTTGCTGAACATTATTGCTGTTTACAGTTTATCTCTATCTATATTAATATTTAAGATAATAACCAATAAAATGCTCCGCTGGGGCGCAGCTTGATACGACCGCAGAGGTCGAACCCTGAACAGTTGGGGCAAGTATGGACACAACATTCAAGCTTGATACAGCACTAAATTTGGATTGTAATTAAATATTTGACACAGCATAGGTTTCTGACACAGAATGAATGTGGTCTAAGAACTTAAAAAATTTTAATTTATCTATTCAAACCATATCATTATTATTTGCTTTTATATATTAATCAGAAATAACCAATTTAAAATGGAAAATTTTAAAGAAAAAAAATGAAAAAAAAATCCCCCCCCCAAATTTTCTGAACCCCCTTATGATTCATCACCCCCAAACTCAATCCCAGCCTTCCCTTTGTGGTATGGTACCTTCAACTTCAAGTTCATACATGTGATGGACTGTGAAACTAAGATCAGGAGTTTGGGAAATTTTGGTCAGGAGATTAGGACTCAGATCAGGAGGTTTTTAATCGACATAAATTCTGTCGTCAATGTAACCGTAAGCTGTAGAAATTGTCTGTTAAAGTGTGTTTTCTTCAACTGTCCATCCGAATGTATTATGTTTATAGTACCCTTGTACTTATTAATTTTCTCTATCTTTTTAAACTTTCAACTTGTTCAATCTAACATTCTTCTTTTTTAGTATGTTCTTTAAATTTTTTAGGTCATATCTGTTTTACCATTATTCATTGCAATCAAAACAATTGCTTATCTATCTGCAAGTAGATCTTTTGTTTTATCCTTATGCAAGTAGATTTTTTTTTTTTTTATCTTTATATTATGCAAGTAGATTTATAATGCTTGATAAGTAATACATTCAAACTGTATACATGGGTCATAGTTAATATATAAATTTCAATTTAAGCCTTAAAAGGAAGTATAGAACCCTCAAATAATTTTCAAATTATTATTTTTTTATTTGTCCTAAGACATTTAAAATCATTTAATTACCATCCTTTTATGATTATTTGTTCCATTCATATTTTATTTATATTCTTTTAAAAATTTGCATTATTTAAAGGAAAGTAGCTTAAAACAGGATAAATCAAGGGAAGTAACCCAACATTCATTTTAACTACACAAAGTTTTATTACACAACGGCAGTTAGCCTGAGGTAAAAATCGTTGATTACCAGTATGTTTGACACCCAAGGTGACAAGTGAAGCCATATAATTATGCATGTTAATTGATTTACAGGTAAAATATAACTTCAGGTAATGTCAGTTACACCAGATATGTTGGGCTGAAATTTTTCATTCATGAAATATTTCATACACAGGATTTTTTTGTCTTCAACGGGAGGTCGGGAGGAAACCCCTGAAAACAGGATTATTGTACTCCCGTCGGGAGGTTCACATGTACAATTTCAGAGAGATCCAAACACTTGAACACAAGTTATTGTCTGGAAACTAGAAAAATGCTTGTTTTTTGGTCCCTTGTTGGCCCTTAATTCCTAAACATTTAGGGCAATTACCCCAAACTCAAACCCAGCTTTCCCTTTGAGATATGGAACCTTGCAGTACAATTTCATAAAGATCCATACACTTACACACAAGTTATTGTCCTGAAACTAGAAAATGCTTATTTTTTTGCCCCTTTATGGCCCCTAATTCCTCAAATTTCTAGGGAATTACCCCCAAAATCAATCCCAGCCTTCCCTTTGTGGTATGGTACCTTGCAGTACAATTTCAGAGAGATCCATACACTTGAACACAAGTTATTGTCTGGAAACTAGAAAAATGCATATTTTTGGCCCCTTTTTGGCCCCTGATTCCTAAACGTTGTGGGCAATTACCCCCAAAATAAATTCCAGCTTTCCCTTTGTGATGTGGAACCTTGTAGTACAATTTTAAAGATCCATACACTTACACACAAGTTATTGTCATGAAACTAGAAAAATGCTTGTTTTTTGCCCCTTTTTGGCCCCTAATTCCTAAAATTTGGAGGCAATTACCCCTAAAATCAATCCCAGCATTCCCTTTGTGATATGGAACCCTGTGGTACAATGTCAAAGAGATCCATACACTTACACACAAGTTATTGTCATGAAACTAGAAAAATGCTTATTTTTTGCCCCTTTTTGGCCCCTAATTCCTAAAATTTGGAGGCAATTACCCCCAAAATCAATCCCAGCATTCCCTTTGTGATATGGAACCTTGTGGTACAATGTCGGAGAGATCCATACACTAACACACAAGTTATGTCTGGAAGTTACAAAATGCTTATTTTTGGCCCCTTTTTGGCCCCTAATTCCTTAACTGTTGGTCCCATAACCCCCAATATCAATCCCCACCTTCCTTTTGTGGTATTGAACCTTATGGTAAAATTTCATAGAGATCCATTCACTTAAACTAAAGTTAGAGTGCGAAAACCAATGTGTCTTCGGACGACGACAACGACGACGACGACGACGACGACGCCGCCAACGTCATACCATTATACGACCACAAAATTTTTTTGCGGTCGTATAAAAACTGCAAAATTTCCTTAAAATTACCAATTCAGGGGCAGCAACCCAACAACAGGTTGTCGGATTTGTCTGAAAATTTCAGGGCAGATAGATCTTGACCTGATAATCAGTTTTACCCATGTCAGATTTACTCTAAATGCTTTGGTTTCAGAGATATAAGCCAAAATCTACATTTTACCCCTATGTTCTATTTTTAGCCATGGCGGCCATCTTGGTTGGTTGGCGGGGTCATCGGACACATTTTTTAAACTAGATACCCTAATGATGATTGTGGCCAAGTTTGGTTAAATTTGGCCCAGTGGTTTCAGAGGAGAAGATTTTTGTAAAAAGCTAATGACGACGCACGACGACGACGCCGACAACGCCGGATGACGGACGCCAAGTGATGAGAAAAGCTCACTTGGCCCTTCGGGCCAGGTGAGCTAAAAAAGGATTAAATGGCGGGTGTATCAGGTTCAACTATCTCATGTATTAATTTTTATACATAAACAAGTACTAGGAAATGAAAGAAGAATTCGTCCATGTCAAACTTAGATATGCTCCTGTAATAATTCCATTATACAACAAACATAGAAGCTGTCCTGTGTGCTATATTTGTCAGCATTGTGTATAAAATTTCAAATATATATAAAAAGGTGGGATATACGGGGCATGATTGCCACTGAGAAAACCTGCTACCAGAGACCAAAAGAGATAGAAGTTAAGAGCTATATGTCCCCCAATGGCCTTCAACAATAAGCCAACTCCATACCGTTTGGCAAGCTATAAAACCAAATGACAAATGTAAGGTAATTCAAACATGTCAAAACAGCCTGATTTATGTACAAAACACCAATAAAATAAAAATACCTTGCAAAGTTTCATCAAAATTGGAATACTAATGTTAGAGGTCCCTGAGGTGGGATATTTATTGCAGATGAGGGATTGTTTTGTAAACTGAAAAATCAGTTTAAGTCAGGTGTCTGAGTGAGTCTCTAGGTTTCATAAAAAAGGCAAGTTTTACTACAATCAAGCAAGAGATACTAAAATTATCAACTGAAACCAGTGGTATTAAACAAGTGAACGGGCAGACAAACTAAGAACTATTTGCCTCAGGGATTCCAGAGTCCATATAAATATGCAGGTTTAAAAAAAAAAAAACACCCCTATTGTAATAGATACTGCCTGCTCATTTTTCAAATTGTTTGGTTTTGAATTTGAACTGAAAATTTAAAAAATCCCCAAAAATAGTGATTTTCCATTTTGACTGCTGGTTGCCATGGTAACCAATATGCAAATCAACTGTTTGGAAATGTTATATATATTATATATTGTCTTACATGTATAGAAGGTATAACAAGTTTGTATAACCAGGTCTTTCTATATCTGGTCTCAAAATTAGAAAAATGTGTAAAAGACACAGTTATCTCCCTTTTTGAAAAAATGCTCATTATTTTTAATGATGTACATTTTTTGTCTTAACTAGACGGTGACTTGTTGATTTTACTTTTTATTATTTAAAAAGACTATTTCAGCAACTGAAAAAACACAAACATTAAAAAATCCTATATTAGGTTTCATGAGAAATTCTTCAAAAAAGATGGCTATGCATTCATTTCCCTATCATTTCTATAGTAATCTTGAATGAAAACCAATAAACTTGAACCCTTCAAAAAAATTTAACTAGACGGTGAACCCATTTTTTTATTTTTATTTTCCACTTAATATATGATAAAGTTCATTTATAAAAAGTATTTGCCAAATCCTATATTAGATATCTATACCACCCAGCCACCTTAACTAGATTTTAACAGACGACATCTTTGAATAATATACAAACAAAACCATTAAAATATTTGACAGTGTAGAAAATGAAGTTGATACCTGTTTCTACTTTGGCAGTGTCCATCTCTTCTAGCATTCTTTTCAACATTGCAGTTCTGTAAAATAAATTCATGTTCTGTTCTGAAAGATTATATAGTTTATTCTGGGTTTACTTTTCAGAATAAATAAATACATGTTTTATCTTAAAAGGTTAATTTTTTGTTAAAACCTTAATATTTCTAAATTTAGATTTCATTCTTAGCAATAAATAAATTCATGTTTTATTCAGGGCAGTTCTTCAAATAGATTCATCTTGCATCCTTAATAAACTGCTTCACCGAGCGCAGCTGGTTACGACTGTAAAGGTCCAACCCTGAACAGTTGGGGCAAAAATGGACACAGTATTCAAGCTTGATACAGGTCTGAATTTGGATTGTAATTAAATATTTGACACATTATAGGTTTCTGACAAAGAATAAATGTAGTCAAAGAACTTGAAATCGGTTATATGATTTGAATTTATATTCAATTGAATATTTCTTGATGTTGTGCAATACACTGTGCTGTTGCGCAATACTTAGTAAATTCAGACTAGATACAAAGAATTAGCAAAATAAATCATGACTCCCAATTTTCTTAAATCTTGAGGAAAAAAAATTGCCCCCCCCCCCCTCCCCAAAAATAAGGTTCCCCCTCCCCCCCTCCAAAAAATGTAACATTTGAAGAAATTTTCTTTTTGTAAAATGTGGTACAATTTAAGAGACATCCATACACTTAAACACAAGTTGTCTGAAAACTAGAAAAATGCTTGTTTTAGACCCTTTTTGGCCCCTCATTCCTGAACGGTTTGGGCAATTACCCCCAAAATGAATCCCAACCTTCTACTTGTGGTATTGAACCTTGTGGTACAATTTAAGAGCAATCAAAATACTTATAAACAAGTTATTGACCTGAAGCTAGAAAAATGCTTGTTTTGGGCCCCTTTTTCGTCCCTAATTCCTAAACGGTTGAGACCATCACCCCCAAAAACAATCCCAACCTTCCTTTTTTAATATTGAACCTTTGGTTAAATTTCATAGAGATCCATACACTTAAACTAAAGTTATTGTCTGGAAACCAGATGTCTTCAGACGATGACGACGTGATAGCAATATACGACCCCCAAAATTTTTTGTGGTCGTATAAAAAGTACTAATTAATGAATAACAACACAACCTTTGAAGAGTAACAATTCAACAAACAACTACAGTAGTACAAACAAGTAAAATTGTGAGCTACTGCTCACTGATGATACCCCCGCCGAAATATTTCGGTAAACAGGAAGTTGTTGAGTGATGAATCTGAAAACGCATCACACGGTATAGCTGACTTATATAAACCCTGAAACCAAATTTCAGAAATCCTTGTCAAGTAGTTCCTGAGAAAAATGTGACGAAAATTTTCAACTTGGCTATCATGTGTAAAATAATACAAGTGTTCGGTGAACAAGAAGTTGTTGAGTGATGAATCTGAAAATGCATCACACGGTGTAACTTACTTATATAAACCCTGAAACCAAATTTCAGAAATCCTTGTCAAGTAGTTCCTGAGAAAAATGTGACGAAAATTTTCAACTTGGCTATCATGTGTAAAATAATACAAGTGTTCGGTAAACAGGAAGTTGTTGAGTGATGAATCTGAAAACACATCACACGGTGTAACTTACTTATATAAACCCTGAAACCAAATTTCAGAAATCCTTGTCAAGTAGTTCCTGAGAAAAATGCGATAGAAATATTCATGGGACGGACGGACTGACAGATGAATGGATGGGCTGACGGAAGGACAGACAGAGTTAAAACAGTATACCCCCACTTTTTTAAAGGGGGGTATAACTATACAAACCTGACAGCATGCTGTGCCCACATTTGTTGTAGGTGCCTTATATTCTCTTCATGCCAGTCTGAAATAAAATTCAATTCTTTTGAAAGTGTAGGAACACAGACTGGATATTATTTCATAGGTGTATAAATCACATTTTATTCAATGTTGATAATGTATTGTGAAAAATATAAATACAAACAAGGACATGTGTCCATATGCCCCACTTGCATTATCTTATACCCATGCTCAGTGAACCTTGTAATCTGGGGGGGTTGCCACTTCCTATATACAAGGTGATAGGACGTGCAGCTGGAATAGGTCACATTTTTGAGCTTGAAAATATGTGAATAGGTGGGGAAAACTATCAGAAATATATGATAAGGTCAATCAAGTTTCCATTACTTGTGATATGAAAAGCCCAACCAATATGGGAAAAGGGTACATTTTTACCTACACAATATATGAAAAGGGCATACATTTTTAAGATTAAATTATATGAATAGGGTGGGGTAACTGAACCCCAGCAGCACCCCTATCAATTCAGTATTGAAGTTGTCCCCCCCCCCCTCCCCACGAGAATCTATCTTAACCAAAAACTTTTACCTATAGCAGAACCAACTAACAGATGGCAGGACAAACAGACCCTCAGACCAGAAAACATGACACCCCCTACTATCTTAGGCAGGGCATTAAAATATCTAAAATACTACTGTATAGCTTTGAATACACATCTATTTAAGGGGAACCCAACACTTTGATTAAAATAGATTTTAATTTTCATAAAATATTGACAAAATATTTACTTGACCTGTTGACAAAATATAAAAATTTCAAGAAATTTGAACCACACAATTTACAGGAATTATTTCATTGGATATATAGCAGTTTGACAACCACTTATTTTGATCATTGAGAAGCTTGATTTCTCTTTACTAATAGTATTTGATTAAAATGTTCAGCCGACTTTTAAAGAGTGTTAACTCTCTTAGGTGTTCTGTACATCCTTAAGTGAATAATTTAATGACGGTTTGAAAGTGTTTCATTTATCTGGAATATAATAAACAAGAAATTAATTCAATACTAAAAGGGAGGCGAAAAGATCTTATCAATACTTTACCAGCTTCATAGATCCATTCAATATCATTAGAAAATTCACAATCAAACAAATTCAATGGAAGTTCTGATGCCATTGTGTACTGAGGTTTCCTTGGATGTTTATCTATGTCTAGTAACTCATCTATAATCTAGAAAAGAAAACAACTCTACTTGCATTTTCACACTATGCTTGTATGTGTCAAGTGAGTCAAGTCATGTCAATATAAAAAAGATATCTTATGTTTTACTCATCACAATGTTTAAGGCACCTGAGGTTTGTAACAATGTTGAGCAAAGACAAAAGTTATAATTTCTTTAAATCCATCAATAAAAATTTCAGACAAAGTTTGTGATGGATGATATTTTTGGGTTTTGACATATACCTACACTAATGTTGACAAAATGCAAACCTTGCTTGCCAAAACCTTCAATAGTGCAGAGAAGAGTGACTGGCAAATGTCACCAAAAAGGTTCAGGTTTTAAAAAAAAAGTGATGAAATTGGTTATACTCATCCATATTGACCCCAATTTACTTTCTAGTTTTAATCATATCTTCTTTAATATCTTACAATACACATTAATAATTATATATTAAAAGCCAGATCTGCTGACTGGCCTAAATATTTTTTCTGCTATTATTTTTATACAGATAAAACTAAATGTTTGCATTTCGATACCAAATGATCTGACTGACCTACTAACACATACAATCAAAGTGTCCATGCTGTGAACCAACAAATCTTACTTGATCACAAAAAGCAGCATATGCATACATAGAAATTATTTCTTAACAAATGTATTTTTCAAAGCATAGAAGCTTAGATCTTTTTTATAGTATGAAAAGAAATAAATCATTAAAAAGTTATTTTTTATGTTTGAAGAGCAGAATTTTGTCATTTAAATGAAGTATGATCAACATGTAATGTCAAATTTTGAGAAAGAACAATTACTGTCTTCCTTAGGATATATTTCTCAATAACTGTGAATTGTCTCCCTTTGTACAAATATTTTGAAAGTATTGTGTGGAAATAAACTTTGATATCAAAACATAGCTTGAACTGATTTCCATTCAATTTCTTCTACAAATATACCACACTGATAGAATACTATTTTAATTTTTAATCAAAGCCTTAAAGGCTGTTAAAGCAATTGCTGCCAAGTTAATGTTATTGTTACGTTTATCTTTCATCCACATGTTAAAGAATTAAACCTGACAGGAGTCTTATCTAGTAAGAAGTAAGGATGTTTTAACTTTATATCAATTAAATACTAATCCAGCAGAAAGTCCTATTTACAATGTTTTACATTTCCCAGGCTCACATTGGAGGCAAATATATTTGCAGAAACGTATAACTGCCAAAAAAATCATGATAGATTATCCCCTTGTAGAGTGTTTTTTACTGGGCAATAATTTACATGACAATCCACCCGACTTCATTATCTTTATTGCTTTTATTTTAATTTCAATTATCATAGTTAGTTTAAATTTGACCATTCAGTTGATGATTTCAACATCTGTTACACGAGTGTTCTACCGAACTATAGTTTTTATTTAGAATAAGAATTATTCATTCGAAGACCGGCTTCCGAAATTTTCAGGAAACTGTCGATTAACCTGTAAACTGGCTCACGCTTGACCCCTTTCATTACTATTGATATAATTACATAAAAAAATATAACACAACAGATTTTTAAATAAAGAGATTTTCAGTTTAAAGTTTCATGAAGTCATCATAAATACACTTGACGATTTTCTGCATGGTCAAGGAAGAGACATATATACATATGTATATATTGTCTCTGGTCAAGGCTAGTAAAGTCTATTTTAAACCATCCAATGAAAACACGCTGATCACACATTACACAAAACCAGAGACATGACTGAACATTATAAAATTATTTGGGTTTAATTAAGACAATCAGAAACACTCTTTCAGTTGAATATTATGATTTTTAAAACTTCAGAATATAAAACACAAAACTTATCAATTCCCGAGAAATACAGGTCATCATTTTCAATTACCTAGAGGGTCATTACGACATTTCTCACTGTCTCGAGAAGTAACCTTGTTCAATTGATTATTATTTGTTTACTGAGTAGAGTCTATTGTATCAATCAGCAATTATAAGGAAGTCCTTAATAAATAACTGGGCCCGTAATTTCAATGAAGTATTAATCAACAGCTGCGCCATGAGCGCATGATACACCCGTAGAGTTTTTAAAGAATAAAGTTCAATAACTTCTCAATGTCATATCAGAAATTTATGAAAAACTAAAGGGAGGTTATCTTAATAGATATAAACCAGTTACCAAAGTTTCATGAAAACTGCTCAAAGCACTTTAAAGATATTGTCAGAAAACTGGAAAAACACCCCTTTTTTATGAATAAAATCAAATAACTCGGAAACATAAAATCTAAAATTTATAAAAATCAAATGGGAGCTTACGTCAATAGATATAAACAATTCACCAAAGTTTCATGGAAACTGCTGAAAGCATTTTTGAGATATTGTCCGAAAACTGGAAAATCCTCCTTTTTTTAATGAATAAAACCCACAACTCGGAAACGTAAAATCTAAAATTTATGAAAATCAAAAGGGAGCTCATGTCAATAGATATAAACAATTCACCAAAGTTTCTTGCAAATTGGTGAAAGTGTTTTTGAGTTATTGTCATTAAACTGGAAAATCCCCCTTTTTTAATGAATAAAACCCCATAACTCTGAAACGTAAAATCTAAAATTTATAAAAAACAAAAGGGAGCTCATGTCAATAGATATGAACAATTCATCAAAGTTTCATACAAATTGGTTAAAGCGTTTCTGAGTTATTGTCCAACATGTTGACTACAGACAGACAGACAATGGTATACCATAATACGTCCCGTAAATAGACGTGTAAAAACATGGTAAGAGTAATCAGAAAGTGTAAATTGTGCTACTTTTAATTTAAAACATATAATGTGAGATTAGATTCCATTACCATAATTTTAATAATTTTACGATCATTTTATGAATGAACTATAATTTTATGAATGAACAAGAGCAACTTGACTTCTACAAAAAAGAAACATGAATTAAACAACATAAAACTGTATAAGGGATAATCAGTCAAATTTTCAATATTAAATCAACAACTGTCATGATTTGATATTTTGTTGAATCATCTCAAGAAGGAAATCACAGGTATAAAAAATGATCTGGGTCACAAAAATGGCTATACGCCATAGCATTAAAGCAATTGCTTTAAAAACAAGAAATGATTGTAACAGGATGCTGTTACGAAGTCTCCCAAACGAAGCTCCCATAATTCGTAATTCCCAGGGTCGTCTGACATTGGGCAAAGTCCAGTGAAAATTGGTTTGGTAAAGTTATATGCATTAGTGATGCCTGGGGACTAACCCTGTATATCATTCAAATCATCTTGGCATGACAAACCAGAATATATATGGTTTAGGGGTGGGGATCTCGACCACTTACAAGATACTAGAACATTGGGGGTGGGGGGAACCCCTGGGGACTGACCCTATACGTCATTCAAATGTTCGAGACATGACGAACAGGAATATATATGGTTTAGGGGTGGGGATCTCGACCATTTACAAGATATTAGAACATTGGGGGTGGGGGGAACCCCTGGGGACTGACCCTATATGTCATTCAAATGTTCGAGACATGACAAACAGGAATATATATGGTTAAGGGGTGGGGATCTCGACCATTTACAAGATATTAGAACTTTCTCAAATGGCAGGGGGTCGGGGATGACCCCTGGGGACTAACCCTGTAAATCATTCAAACCATCTTTGCATTACAAACCAGAATATATATGGTTTAGGGGTGGGGATCTTGACCACTTACAAGATATTAGAACTTTTTAAATGGCAGGCGGTGGGTGTGACCCCTGGGGACTAACCCTGTATATCATTCAAACCATCTTTGCATGACAAACCAGAATATATATGGTTTAGGGGTGGGGATCTTGACCACTTACAAGATATTAGAACTTTCTTAATTGGCAGGGGGTGGGGGTGACCCCTGTAGACTAACCCTGTATATCATTCAAACCATCTTTGCATGACAAACAAGAATATATATGGTTTAGGGGTGGGGATCTTGACCACTTACAAGATATTAGGTTTTTCTTAAATGGCAGGGGGTGGGGGTGACCCCTGGGGACTAACCCTGTATATCATTCAAACCATCTTTGCATGACAAACCAGAATATATATGGTTTAGGGGTGGGGATCTCAACCATTTACAAGATATTAGAACTTTCTCAAATGGCAGGGGGTCGGGATGACCCCTGGGGACTAACCCTGTATATCATTCAAACTATCTTAGCATGACAAACCAGAATATATATGGTTTAGGGGTGGGGATCTTGACCACTTACAAGATATTAGGTTTTTCTTAAATGGCAGGGGGTGGGGGTGACCCCTGGGGACTAACCCTGTATTTCATTTAATGTGCTTTATCATTTAGAACATTTTCAATTAAAAAGATTGTGTCTATCACAAACGGTTTTCAATTTATAATCATTTGAAAATTTTAAAAAATAAAATCCCATAGGGTTCTATAGTAAAACCCTCCTTTCTTTTCGCCCCTCAAAGTACCCCTTTATAAACCCTATTGCACAAACAAAACCCTGATTGCACCACTAGACATGTTAGTCTAACATATTGTGAAACCCTAAGTTAATCTGACTAGCGGTTTTGGAGAATGGGTGCGGACAAGTTCAAATTTAAAAGAGGCGGAAGAGGAAGAGGAAGAAGAATAATAATAATAATAAGAACTGAGCAAAAGCAATAAGTCTTCCCAAACTTCGTTTGGGAGACTTAATTATTCCAAGACTCAAATGGCCAGGTTATGTAGAATGTTTCTTAAAGAATTCATAAGGATTACTAAGCCTGAGATGATTAACCTGTTTATCTGCCATTTTCTGTCATAAAAAGAAAATTTGTTGTGTTTCATTACCTGGAAAAGGATTACAAATAATTTTCCCAGTGTTCTCCCCTGGATAGCACCAGGGTAACGTGTGTGGACTGCTTGGTGAAATGATTAATACAATCAGTTGTGTCGCGTTGCGTTGCGTCGAGTCACTTAGCTATATTTCTAGTAACTGTATTTTTTATGTCACCTGTTTTGTTTTAATGCTGTGGTACTGTGTTATGTAGACATTGAAAATTATTGGTAAAAAAGAAGTAAATCAATAAACAGTTTGACATGTATACTTAATATTTTTTTTAAATAAATAAAACATGATACATTACAAAATATTCATCTAAATTTAAAGTTATTAAATCTTTTATAAAATCAATGATCAATAAGAATAAAATATCATTCAAAAGAGAACAAAAATGTTCAACTTAAAAAACTTTCTAATTTCTAGAATGAAAGATGTTGTATTGTGAAAGGATTCCTGTCATAAGGAGATATAAAATTAACAAGAATAAATATTGTATTATTATTTGAACCAGTTTCTATCTTAAATTTTAATAAAAAGAAATTTTTCATAAATTTCAAAACATTTTGCTTTAGATTTCATGTAAATATTAACTTTTCTTGTCTTTAGTAATAATCAAACATAGATACAGACTTAATACTGCACTGAAATCTAAATCTTTTTTTGTCATGATCCATTTAAAAAGAATTCCTAAATCTATAAATTTATCCTAGTTCTATAGATCTATAAGTAACCCTATTCAATGTCAACAACTAAGTCTCCCTATTTTCCCGCCTAAATGACAGGAAGTAGATATAAATAGATTTTAACATGTGCTTATGGATACAATTTGCAAATCACTTCTGTTATTCATTAATTATCATATGGATATAGATATCCAGTTTGAAGGTACAGTCATGCATTTTATTTATAAAATAGAATAGATTGCAGTTAATTGTAAATAATCTTGGGTATTCTATGTGAACTAACTGGGTCATGTGATCCGTCCCCTTTGAACACTTGTTGACAGATACTATGATAGTTTGAAACCAGAATATCATGCAATATAAACTATGTCAAAATTAAAGATAATTTGGCCATGGTTTAATCAGAGACATATAATACTATTACATAAGTATTGAGAAGTGTATAATGGTCAATTATACGTAATGAGCCAACTTAATAATGTACAAAATGTGTGTACAACTATCGGGTCAACACGGTTTGTGTACAAAATATTTGCCGACTTGTCAGGTGGTGAGTGAAGCCATAAAATAGTTATCTACGCTCATAAAGTTATGATCTCTTAATTAAAACACAAAAGATTCATTTTACAAGTGTTAATTACATCGATTAAATCCAATCAACAAAGGTTAACCTCATAAAGGTAAATCGATCACGTGGTGTAAACAATCTGAACTGGTTTGAACTGGTAAAATTTCACCTGGAATTTTATACCGCTCGGAAAAGATTTAACAAGTCGTTTAAAACTTTACCGATTTTCCGTTTTTTACTAAAAATTTTAGCACCACGGAGAAATATAATACATCGCGGTAAGAACGATACCACCATGGTAAAAAATTATACATCGCGGGCCCGCAGTCCTTTAAGGCCCTGGGGAGAACACTGATTTTCCTGATGTGGGGCAAAAGAAATGCTAAAGTTACCTGTGGTTTTTCATTTCCCTGTCCGACCAGGAACAGGACTGTCACAATACACCTGATCTGGTGCCAAAGGAATGCTAAGCCTGTAATGGTTAACTCACACATCTGGTACTCAGTATCACTACAATATGATACAAATTTATTGGAACAGTTACACAACAGTTGAAAAAAAAAAATGTAATATTCTATATTTCTATACTATGATAAGAATTAATTTTTTTTAACAGATAATATAAAGACTTTGTTAAAATGAGGGAAATGCAACTGGTTACAAAGCAATGTGCTTGATCCAACTTTGAAAGCACAGACTTTTCTCCCTATGTAGATACCAGGTGGCTGATATTTCAATCAGTGGTTTGAATTGACCCACTAACCTTACAATATTAATTCATGCATAATTATAAATTATGAAAATAAACATGTAAATGCACTATTATGTTGACACCTTGGTTGTATCCCATTATTCATGAGATCTCCTTCCATTGGTATATGCTACTTCTATCCCCATTGTTGTACTTTTCCAATAATAATTATATATACTAAGAGAAGTGAATATACAGAGATTAACTTGAAACATGAACATTTCTTTGAACAAAATGTGTAAAAGACTCATATATTTTTAAAAGGGAATTTTGCTAAAAATGCACACAATTTTTCCTCTTTATTCTGGGATAGCTTTTAACAAATATGTACAAGGGTCACATTAGTTGGTGATTATAACTTGGGTGAAGAAGTAGCCTTCTCTACAATAACTTATCTCAACCATCAAATTAAAGTGTAATAAAAAAGCAAGAAATTTACAACAGTCATCTTCATCATCAATTTTGTAAATAGAAAAATAGCAGAATGTTAGAAACAGATATTGTAGCATTTTAAGTGAACAAGCACCTTTTTTGTCAGGGAAGTCACTTATCCCTACAATTCTACAGTAGTGTGAGCCCTGATGAATGTTGCTTGTCCCTACCATTCTGCAGTAGTGTGAACCCTGATGAGTCATTTATCCCTACGATTCTGCAGTGTGTGAACCCTAATGAATGTTGCTTGTCCCTACCATTCTGCAGTAGTGTGAACCCTGATGAGTCACTTATCCCTACGATTCTGCAGTAGTGTGAACCCTAATGAATGTTGCTTGTCCCTACCATTCTGCAGTAGTGTGAACCCTGATGAGTCACTTGTCCCTACAATTCTGCAGTAGTGTGAACCCTGATGAGTCACTTGTCCCTACAATTCTGCAGTAGTGTGAACACTGATGAGTTACTTATCCCTACGATTATGCAGAAGTGTGAACCCTGATAAGTCACTTGTCCCTACAATTCTGCAGTAGTGTGAACCCTGATGAATGTTGCTTGTCCCTACCATTCTGCAGTAGTGTGAACCCTGATGAGTCATTTATCCCTACGATTCTGCAGTGTGTGAACCCTAATGAATGTTGCTTGTCTCTACCATTCTGCAGTAGTGTGAACCCTGATGAGTCACTTATCCCTATGATTCTGCAGTAGTGTGAACCCTAATGAATGTTGCTTGTCCCTACTATTCTGCAGTAGTGTGAACCCTGATGAGTCACTTGTCCCTACAATTCTGCAGTAGTGTGAACCCTGATGAGTCACTTGTCCCTACAATTCTGCAGTAGTGTGAACGCTGATGAGTTACTTATCCCTACGATTATGCAGAAGTGTGAACCCTGATAAGTCACTTGTCCCTACGATTCTGCAGACGATTATGCAGTAGTGTGAACCCTGATGAGTCACTTGTCCCTACAATTCTGCTGTAGTGTGAACCCTGATGAGTCACTTGTCCCTACAATTCTGCAGTAGTGTGAACCCTGACGAGTCACTTGTCCCTACAATTCTGCAGTAGTGTGAACCCTGATGAGTCACTTGTCCCTACGATTATGCAGTAGTGTGAACCCTGATGAGTCACTTGTTCCTACAATTCTGCAGTAGTGTGAACCCTGATGAGTCATTTGTCCCTACAATTCTGCAGTAGTGTGAACCCTGACGAGTCACTTGTCCCTACAATTCTGCAGTAGTGTGAACCCCGACGAGTCACTTGTCCCTACAATTCTGCAGTAGTGTGAACCCTGACGAGTCACTTGTCCCTACAATTCTGCAGTAGTGTGAACCCTGATGAGTCACTTGTCCCTACAATTCTGCAGTAGTGTGAACGCTGATGAGTTACTTATCCCTACGATTTTGCAGAAGTGTGAACCCTGATAAGTCACTTGTCCCTTCAATTCTGCAGATGATTATGCAGTAGTGTGAACCCTGATGAGTCACTTGTCCCTACAATTCTGCTGTAGTGTGAACCCTGATGAGTCACTTGTCCCTACAATTCTGCAGTAGTGTGAACCCTGCCGAGTCACTTGTCCCTACAATTCTGCAGTAGTGTGAACCCTGATGAATGTTGCTTGTCCCTACCATTCTGCAGTAGTGTGAACCCTGATGAGTCACTTATCCCTACGATTCTGCAGTGTGTGAACCCTAATGAATGTTGCTTGTCCCTACCATTCTGCAGTAGTGTGAACCCTGATGAGTCACTTATCCCTACGATTCTGCAGTAGTGTGAACCCTAATGAATGTTGCTTGTCCCTACCATTCTGCAGTAGTGTGAACCCTGATGAGTCACTTGTCCCTACAATTCTGCAGTAGTGTGAACCCTGATGAGTCACTTGTCCCTACAATTCTGCAGTAGTGTGAACGCTGATGAGTTACTTATCCCTACGATTATGCAGAAGTGTGAACCCTGATAAGTCACTTGTCCCTACGATTCTGCAGACGATTATGCAGTAGTGTGAACCCTGATGAGTCACTTGTCCCTACAATTCTGCTGTAGTGTGAACCCTGATGAGTCACTTGTCCCTACAATTCTGCAGTAGTGTGAACCCTGACGAGTCACTTGTCCCTACAATTCTGCAGTAGTGTGAACCCTGATGAGTCACTTGTCCCTACGATTATGCAGTAGTGTGAACCCTGATGAGTCACTTGTCCCTACAATTCTGCAGTAGTGTGAACCCTGATGAGTCATTTGTCCCTACAATTCTGCAGTAGTGTGAACCCTGATGAGTCACTTGTCCCTACAATTCTGCACTAGTGTGAGCCTTTATGAGTCACTTGTCCCTACAATTCTTCAGTAGTGTGAGCCCTGATGAGTCACTTGTCCCTACAATTCTGCAGTAGTGTGAACCCTGATGAGTCACTTATCCCTATAGTGTGAGCCCTGACAAAGTCTACATATTCCCACCTTTTACATATGTGACTTTTCATTACAGTACATAATTACCTTTCATCAAGGACAGCAATGTCAGCTTTCACAATTCTTCTCATAAAATTCACAACACCATTACCAACATCCATCTTACAGAAATTTCTAAAGTCATGTTCACCAACCAGTTTGTCAGCTGCTTCAGACATTATCTGTTACATAATAATACTTTTATTCAATTTTGTGTGTATGGATAATTCGCATGACAATAAAGTACTTAATATCTATGTGATGAATATCTTTGGTAAATAATATACTTTAAAGATATGCTTACGAAAAACATTAATTATACCATTAAAGGTAAGAACAAGTTCAGAGGTCTTGTGATAGTGTGTTTGCCTCAAGTGCGGGATGTAGTGTGTTCAAACCTCAGCTTGGTAAAACCAGAGACTGTTAATTAGGTATTTGCTGCTTCTCTGCAAAACTACATGAAGGAGGAAGAGCTTAGACTGATCACTTCGTAGTCAGAATAATGTGTACAGGTAGAGTGTCATGTCTTCCTGTGGACTATAAACTTGTGAAAGAGCAAATTAAAAATCCAGCTCAGCTGTTGGTCTAGTACAAAGCAGGGTTCATATTCAAATAGCACCAACATGATCTCAACCTGAACGTGCATATAATTTGTTGCTGGAATTAAACAGCCATCCATCTATCCATCAGAAACAAGTCAAAACCAATAGTATTTTTGACAAATGTAATGTTCTTTTAGGGGCCAGTTGGAGCACACTTATATGTTCATGATTTTCTTGCTGCGTTGAAGACCCCTTGGTGGACTTGGGCTGTTTTCTGCTCTTTGGTTGTTGTCTCTTTGACACATTCCCTGTTTTCAATTTTTATTCCATTCCTCAGGAAAAGTGTATCAATTTGTTGACACATGTTAATACAACTGCATCCCAAATATCATTGAAGATTACTCTTGTAATTGTGCAATATTGGAAAAAATTGCTTTAAATCTGACAGTTGAAGTCTCATAACTCTAAAGCAAATTTGAGTTATCAAACCTTATGTTGACATATGGACAGAAGTACGAACTAAGAATTCCATAATATATTCTGTCGATGACGGACGTATAAAAAGGATAGTTTTCAAAATGTTTTCCCTTGTCTGATGCAAGCTTTGCACAAAACATCCCAGTCTTTTCAAACAATCACCTTGATAATTATAATAAGGATACATAAAATACACATTATTTCCCATTAAAGACAGTCTTTTCAAACAATCACCTTGATAATTATAATAAGGATACATAAAATACACACTATTTCCCATTATAGATATAGTCATCAGAATCACAGGGCAGATATTCAGTGGTGCCATTACTGTAGATTCTTCAAAGGTTGACTAATTTTGCCATGCACAAGGTCTTAAGTAAAATAAACATCAATCCATCTCCCGAGTTAAAAAAAGCTGTTCTATGTTCTTACAATTGAGACTCAATTTAATATGAACTATGTAGATAGGTCCAGTTTGTGAAGTTGTAGGTTCAAGGCCCAGCCAGGTCAAACCACACAGGGTCTTGTCTTGCTTATTTAGCAAGTACATTGTTGTATTGAAAATTATCTCTAGTATCGATTTCATGAAGTGTGACTGATCTTTCTAATGAATAGGCAAATTTTAAAAACAATGCGGTATAACATTCCTTATCTGTTTACTAAACTGGGTTTTTTTTAACAATCTTAGATTATACTTTGTACATAGTAATAAAACAAACTCCTGTAAAATGAATGAACCTTTATGTTCTGTTTATCAGTTTGTAAATCTTACCTGTAGATTTAAGTTGCCCTTTGGAAAAAAATATTTATATGTTCTCTTTTTACAGTCAAATCTGCAAATAAAACATATATACTTTTACATTACATCAAAAAACATTCCTTTGTAAACCAATTCTTATTGTAAAATGCAAATTATAAAGAGCTTTTTTAAGATTTTTAGAGGTAAAATCATAAACTCAGATAATCTACAGTCTCTGTTTCATGTATTAAGAGATTTAGTACAAGTATTAAGAGATTTAGTACAAAGTATTGTCCATTATCATTGTGTTCTGCAGTTGTTGTCTCATTGATATTTATACACAATTTAATTTATTCAATCTTTATTGCAGTAGCTTTAGTGTTAAGTATTATTATTTGCTGTGGGTTTTGAAAGTATTTGTGTTTTGACAATGCTTTCTTCCAATGTTATCCTATGTGCTGAAACAGTGTTCCAGCTTGATCATTTTCACGGGGACCGCCCTTCCCATCTGACGCCCTGTGCCCTTTTTAAGACCCCTGCCCTTTTTCGCAAGATGCAGAACTTCAACATGTTTGCAACCTTTCTGTGATGTTTATGGAATCCAAGTTAAAATTGTAGGAGTTGAAAAAACAAATTAAAACCGTAATCTGCCATGTATAATCACCATTGTAAATAATCCGCACACCCTTTTCAGTAAGGGAATTCAGGAACAAAACTTTTTCTCATTTGTTGATTACATCTAGTGAAAATAAGTTAATTTTAAGACTTTGGCAATCATTTGGTGTATTTTTCATGGAAATACCCATTTTTCATCATCAAGTAGAAGTTTTAAATATTTGTAAATGATTCTAGAACACTTCACAAGTTTTAAAATAAGCCAAAATCACAAAAAACATTTGTCATTAACTGGAAATAGGAATAGAATGTGTAAATCCCAAAAACACATACGGTGAGAGTGTGCAGAAATTCTGTGCTGAACATATTACAAAAAAATACAAAAACAGTGCCATACTTTCATAAAATACTATTAAATGTATATATCACATTAATATTTGAAGGACTTTAAGCTAAAAATAAAACCACAGGCAACAGTATGAAACATCAAATCTGATTGAATAACCAATTATGTTTTGTAATATACATTGATATGTAATGCTATGAAAAAAAACAAGCAATTTATTATGAAGCATTTAATTTGAATATTTATCAGTTAATAATAGATTTTTAAATTAAAATTGTATATTAATATGGATTAAGTAATTTTTTTTAGAGTATTTGGAAAGAGATAAGGGTTCCCTCAACAATTTCAAATACAAACATACAGTAGTCTTTTTAGGGCCCTTTATGGCTTGCTGTTTGGTGTGAGCCAAGGCTCCGTGTTGAAGGCTGTACTTTGACCTAAAATTGTTTACTTTTTACACATTGTGACTTGGATGGATAGTTGTCTCATTGGCACTCATCATGCTCATACCACATCTTCTTATTTATATGACAGAATGTAAACAAAAATCACCAAATCAAGTTTTTCCTCTTATTTCTTGCTTACAGTACTCTATAATCAGCAGCCCTGTCTGGCAATTAAAGTAAAACACAGTAGACAATACAGGGCCAAATTCAGGAAAGTTTCACACCCAGCCCTCCCAATGCTCTGTAAATCTATAAATACATTATTTCTATGACAGAAGGTACTTAATGGTTTGATTACAATATGTGCATATTAACCTAGCACTAAAGTCTGTGTTGACTGGAGTCCAGGCCAAGACTCTGATCTCTTGAGGTAGTACTTTATTGAGAATGTGGACATATTTAATCTCTATGGTTTTGTCTCCTGGTCGGTCGCTAGCTGTACCATCTTCTCTGACTTTAACTCCTGGTCCCTCCAGTAAATTGGTTCTTAGATCTATTGATATCACCTACAAAAAAAGACTGTCAGGATTAACTCAATTAAGAAATTAAAAAATGGTGTCAACATAAAAATCACAACTTTCAACATCCAATAACCGTACATTGATGGACAGTCCCCATACCTCCTAAAAATTAAAAAGTAATAGTAATCTTTGAACAAAAAATGTTACAAAGATTTTTTATTCTGAGCCTTAATATATTGTTAACCATTGGGTGCACCATCATACAATAAAATGCTCCGCTGAGCACAGCTGGATATGCCCGCAGAGGTCGAACCCTGGACAGTTGGGGCAAAAATGGACACAATATTCCCGCTTGATACAGGTCTGAATTTGGATTGTAATTAAATATTTGACATATTATAGGTTTCTGAATAAATGTAGTCAAAGAACTTGAAATTGGTTATATGAATTGAATTTATATTCAATTAAAGATTTCTTGCTGTTGTGCAATACACTGTGCTGTTGCGCAATACTTAGTAAATCTGTTGTCAGACTATAAACAAATAAAGTTCAATTTCTTCTCAATGTCAAATTTGAAATTTGTGAAAATCAATAGGGAGATTACATCAATAGCTATAAATAATTCACCAAAGTTTCATGAGAACTGCTGAAAGCATTTTTGAGTTATTGTCCAAAAACTGGAAAATCCTCCTTTTTTTTATGAATAAAACCCTGTAACTCGGAAACTTAAAATCTAAAATTTATAAAAATCGAAAAGGAGTTCATGTCAATAGATATAAACAATTCATCAAAATCTCTTGCAAGTTGGTGAAAGCATTCTTGAGTTATTTTTGGAAAACTGGAAAATCCCCCCTTTTTTAATGAATAAAACCCCAAAACTCGGAAATGGTAAATCTGAAATTTATAAAAAACAAAAGGGAGCTCTAGTCAATAGATATAAACAATTCACCAAAGTTTCATGCATATTGGTTAAAGCTTTTTTGAGTTAATGTTCGACATGTTGACAACGGACGGCAAACAGACGGACGGTCGATGGTATACCACAATATGACCCGTACACGGACGTATAAAAATGTTTTTTTTTAACCATAAAAGCCCATTTAAATACATCATAAAAGTATTAAAATAGAAAACGACATCAGAGTCATGGCTAAAATTAAAAAAACCTTCATCAGCAACTTTTAATAGTAATATCTAAAAATAAAATTCCTTCATCAGCATTTAAAAGTAAATTCTGATAAAATGCTCCGCTGGGCGTATCTTGATACGACCGCAGAGGTCGAACCCTGAACAGTTGGGGCAAGTATGGACACAACATTCAAGCTTGATACAGCACTGAATTTGGATTGTGATTGAATATTTGACACAGCACAGGTTTCTGACACAGAATGAATGTGGTCTAAGCACTTAAAAAATTTTAATTTACCTATTCAAACCATATCATTATTATTTGCTTTTATATATAAATCAGAAATAACCAATTTAAAATGGAAAATTTTTAAAGAAACCCCCCCCCCCCGCCAAATATTTTGAACCCCCTTATGCTTCATCACAACCAAACTCAATCCCAGCCTTCCCTTTGTGGTACGGTACCTGCAGTACAATTTCAGAGAGATCCGTACACTTGAACACATGTTATTGTCTGGAAACTAGAAAAATACTTGTTTTTTGGCACTTTTTGGCCCCAAATTCCTTAACGTTTAGGGCAATTACCCACAAACTCAATTCCAGCTTTCCCTTTGTGATATGGAACCTTGTAGTACAATTTCAGAAAGATCCATACACTAACACACAAGTTATTGTCTGGAAACTAGAAAAATGCTTGTTTTTTGGCACTTTTTGGCCCCAAATTCCTAAACGTTTAGGGAAATTACCCCCAAACTCAAACCCAGCTTTCCCTTTGTGATATGGAACCTTGTAGTACAAGTTCATAAACATCCATACACTTACACACAAGTTATTGTCCTGAAACTAGAAAAATGCTTGGTTTTTGCCCCTTTTTTGGCTCCAAATTCCTAAAATTTTGAAGCAATTACCCCCAAAATCAATCCCAGCCTTCCCTTTGTGGTATGGTACCTTGCAGTACAATTTCAGAGAGATCCATACACTTACACACAAGTTATTGTCTGGAAACTAGAAAAATGCTTATATTTGGCCCCTTTTTGGCCACTTAATCCTAAACGTTTAGGGCAATTATCCCCAAACTCAATTCCAGCTTTCCCTTTGTGATATGGAACCTTGTAGTACAATTTCAGAAAGATCCATACACTTACACACAAGCTATTGTCTGGAAACTAGAAAAATGCTTGTTTTTTGCCCCTAATTCCTAATATTTTGAGGCAATTACCCCCAAAATCAATCCCAGCATTCCCTGTGTGATATGGAACCTTGTGGTACAATGTCAGAGAGATCCATACACTAAGACACAAGTTATGTCTGGAAGTTACAAAAATGCTTATTTTTGGCCCCTAATTCCTTAACTGTTGGTACCATAACCCCCAAAATCAATCCCAACCTTCCTTTTGTGGTATTGAACCTTATGGTAAAATTTCATAGAGATCCATTCACTTAAACTAAAGTTAGAGTGCGAAAACCAATGTGTCTTTGGACGACGACGGCGATGCCAACGTCATACCAATATACGACCGCAAAAGTATAAAATGTAAAGCAAAAGCAAGACAGAATCCCTTAAAAGCAAAATAAAAATAGAGGACAGAAAACGCGTTGTTTCATAATTTCATTTTGATTTTTTTTTCACATATTCATTCCTTAGTAAATAGTAACCTGCACAAGTTAGTATGATGCTTTTATAGTTTAACAGTTTAATAATCGGTGTAGTTCAACCTTGACAAATCTATCCACTCATCCAGAGTTCATCAATCCAAATAAATTGTCCCTATTCATACATTATTTCCTGTCAAGTAACCCAACTTTTTATTTTCAATGATCCCCCCTGGTTGTCTCAAGGTCTGTATTATTATGTATTTTGCAGTGACAACGTTGGTAATTTTACGAAAGCATTTGTTAGATTTCTTTGTAGATATGGTGTTCATAAAAGACAATGTTATTATATGATGAAGTATATACTTCTACTTGTCTATAAATCGTACCACAGGCATGAATTGTTCTCATCAGTAATATTACATAAAAATATAAAAAAAAAAAATTTCTGTGCTTTCAATTTAAATGTTTACTGAGTTTTTTTATTTCCCATCATTTAACATCTAATATAAAAATCTATTTATCTCCCTTTTTCTACAATACCTGACTGAATGCACTAACACCTTTATCTGTTCGTCCACATCTATGGTAATTTGATATTTCCCTGAAAAGATAATGAACAAATTTAATTTCGTTTCCACAAGATTAAGATTTATAAGATTTTACTTTAAATGATCTAAATTTACACAGCAAAAAGAGGCAATTGAAGATGGCAATGAGCTTTATTTTTTGTCTTGTGATAAATTTTGATATGGTAACATAAATGATATCCATGTACTTTTTATCCCTCTCCTTGCACTGGAGACAGTTTTCAGTGTAAACACCAAATAGTTGTAGTGGAGTATTCCCTCAATAGTGCTCTTCAACATAATGATATATCACAAAAGTATCACAACCTCCCGTTAGCTTGAACTTTTTTTTTGTGTTTCTATTTTAATTGGGGTTGACAAAATTTGTACTTTTTTAAAAGAATATAGTGAACATTTCTGAAAAAATTGAATAATGTTGCCTATCATTGTCATACTTATTAATCCTAATTTCTCATTTATATCTCTGGATGTTTATATTTTTTCATGTCAAAGTGACTTGCTTAATTGATATCTTTCTGATGTATAATCCCTCATTTTATAAATCTGTATTTTGGCCACACCAAAAAAAATAATTGTTCGTCAGATATATAAGATGAAAATAGAGAGGCGGCAAGCAAAATTCTAAAAAAAAATTCTACGAATCTGAAGGAGCCAGAAATATTTTTGGGTGTCAGAAAATGAAATTTACAGCATAGCTAAGTTTCTTTGTTGTCATTTATGCATGTATCACATAATTTTTAGAGTTTTTATATGTGTGTTGCAGTGACTATAGAGTCCTTCCTGTATTAAGTAAGTTTCTAATTAATCAGAGCAACTAAGGAATTGCTTATCCTTCAATAAACCAATGGGTAACACCTTTGTTTTTAAAATAGTCCTCATGTTATACAGAATAACTTCAATATTTAAATACCATCGATATCACTTCTTAAGCTTTTGAGTTTTGAGTCTATGATTTATAAAAAAAAAAATGTTATAAAATAGGAAAATTCAGTGGCGATTCAGACAATCAAGACATTAATTTGGTGTCGCTGTATCTATATATTGTACTCTACTCACTCAGTGCTTTTTTTTTTACCTTGATTCAATTAGTTTTGTTTTAATAAGGGCATCAAACAAAGCTAATTCTATGGTTTTATCTGTGTCTTCTTGTACAGCAAACCCATGATAGTCCCAACCTAGATATAAGATCTTCAGGGCAACATGCCTGGTGTTGAACCTATAATGAAAAGTTGGTTAATACATTTAACTTACAATATTAGCAAAAAAGATTCATAGAGTAATATATCTAGTATATATACATAAAGACGAAATATGTTCAATCCAGTACATCAATAATAAATTTTCCAATCAAATCTTTAGGGAAACATGTTTGATGTTGTTCCTTTAATGACAAAAGATGACCACTATAGTGAACCAGTGATCATTTCAAACAATTACCATATTTAGGATGCAACAATAAACTCATCATTGATACCAGGATTTAAAATGTTGTATGCCAGACGAAGTGTTTCGTCTACAAAAGACTCATCAGTGATGCTCAAATCAAAAAATTCAAAAAGAGCCATATAATGTAAGAAGTTGAAAAGCATTGAGGACCCAAAATTCAGAATGGTTTTGCCATATACAAGCTAAGCTAATCTATTTCTGGGTTGAAAATCCTTAGTATTTCGACAATTCAAAGTTTTGTAAACAGTTAACTTATAATTATGACCATATTAATGATATTTCATGTCAACACAGAAGTGCTGACTTACTGGGCTGGTAATACCCTCAGGGAGGACACCACCACCAGCAGTGGCATTGATCTAGTTGTTGTAAATAAACTTATCATAGATACCAGGACGCCAGACAACAACTGCAAGGCTAAAATACATATGACATGATTTCCATACGGGAAATATATGACTTTGAAACAATCCCCATCAGGCACGCACGTCGTGTGACCAAATAAATTACAAAGTGTCAATTTGAACAAGCAAGAAATATCACGGAGTACATACTAGAATGGTTTGAGCTTCTGTCTATCATAGAACAAGCACTCAAAACCATCTAAAAATAAAAACATCGCAATAAATTCTGAACTTACAGTAATATATAAAAGCATATTGATATTCCATGTTTTGGAAATATAAGCCCCAAAAGATCAAAATCAGATAAAAAAGTGCACGTTAAGTTGAAGTTTGCCAAGAAGCTATTATATATATATATACACCTCATGTTTGCGGTATACCATCTTTTCCGCAAGTTTATTGTTTTCTGTTTGGTATTAGATTAATATGTAAGATCCATTTTTTACATCTGGTGATCAATTTATTTGGCAATCGCCAATGGCAGTCAGCAGGGTTTAAGAACATCAGTTGTTTGACCTGTTAGTCAAATGCGTTTTGTTAAAATATACTTTTTCACTTTTTTGGTCTTTTGGAAAATGTTGTTTGTGTTGTATTTAGACCCCTCTACCAAGAAATTTGTTTTACATGCACACGTATAGAAATTGCGGTTTTTATCCAACGCAATCATAGGTTTGAACGTTGTTTTCAATTTAGACTTGTTTATATATATATATATATATATATATATATATATATAGTTTTTAGGAGTTTAAATTGATATAAGCAAGATATCATACTTTTTAAAATCAAATTCTTTTTGTTTCTGTTTTCGACAATGTTTGCTGTCACCTTGGTTCTTCAACACAACATTCCTCAATTGTTTGACATGAGATTCTAACTGCTGGACTCTTGATATCAGGTCCTGAAAATAAAACAAACAATTCTTCAATCAAACACAAAATCAGCACAAAAAGGGGTGTGTATAATTATCCAAATACAGGCAAGTTAACAATCAAAGGGGTGTGTATAATTATCCAAATACAGGCAAGGTAACAATCAAAGGGGACCAAAGGAATCTTCCAATGGAGATTCAAATTGTAGATGGACAAAACCAACGCTTCAGTATGTGAATATATACAAAAATTTCTATCAATTTATTGATTTTACCCTTAGTGTATAGCTAACTGAAAACACAGTTTAGAAGATTCCAAAAGGAATTTTAGATGGGTCTGAGTAGTATAAACAAAGAGGCTTTAGACACTCACAGAAATACATGTAATTTGATCAGGAAGTCAAGTCTTTAAATTCTAGTAAAACAAACAAATCACATATGACAATAGTGAATACTATAATTATATAGATGACTTCTGATGATCCCCGATTTCTTTGATGCTAAAGGACAGTTTCACACTCCCAATGGCTACATCAATAACTTATTAAAAGTGACAGACATAAAAAGATCAGCAGCCTTCAAAAAGTTTTAACATATAAGTAAAGCACAAAAAAATAGTGAAAAATGTTACCCATATATAGACAATCATGTAATTAAATCTTTTCTTTCAGAATTTCTAAGATTTCAACTTCTTTGTTAAATTCAAACTATTTTCAGACAAAGAAATACTACAAACACTTAATTTTTTTTCATTTTGTATTTCAGATAATGATGTTTTGTATTAATTTTTTATATCTATAAAATTAAGAAGATGTGGTATGATTGCCAACGAGACAACTCTCCACAAGAGACCAAATGACACAGAAATTAACAACTATAGGTCACCGTACAGCCTGTTATATCTGAATGAAAAAAAATAGGAACTTATAAATAAGATATATATTGGTACTATTTAACACCAAGAGGTAAACAGGTATAAATGATTGTTGGAATAATCTACAGCAATGAAATTTGAGCAGTATATTAAAAAGCTACCTAGGGTATAGAAATATGTTAACCTTGATTTTTCCCATTCTGAACAGAGAATGTCAGTTTGGGCAAGTCAGGGGGATTTAAAAATGAATGGGGTGTTGAATTCTAGGCAAATGATGGAAGAAATGCCATTCTATTTACATCTTTAAGAACACAATCTATTTTAACATTTCTATGAGGTCCTGAGCTAACTTGTTATAAGTCAGATTTCTTACCCTACATGATGTCCTATTGTTTTTCAGTGGAATTCACAATTATCTGTCACTTTTCAAAGTATGCATACAAACCTATATACAGTATAAAATTCTTATTCTAATAATATGCTTCAAATATTTTCCACTGGATGTTAGGACAAGCAACATAAATAAATTTAAACTCCAAAACCCAAATCCAAGAGAATGGAAATATATTGACATTTAATATAGCATGAAATTATCACACAATTTTTTTCTGATGATATAAAATGAATCCAGCCTAATTTGCACAGACAAGCAGTTTGACAGCTTCAAGTGGATGGCAAAAATCAATAGCACATTCTATCAATACCCGCACTGAAGAATTCTGAAGAATTCTTCCTTTCGGGTAAACATTTAAACATAATTATAGACAATATTACCAAAGTGGTTGATCAATGAGGTTGCTTCGCTATAACAATTCCCAATAACAAATCACTCTGTGCTTGTCAGAAATTTATAACAGAGAGGATTTTCTACTGAAACACTTTTTTTAATTTAGGAGCAATCCCCACTCTTCTTAATCAATATTTTTCTTGTGGCAAATGGTTTTAAAAGAACAAAAATTCCTGCAAACTTTAATCATTGATAAAATGCCCTGATGGCCTAAACACACCTTTAGTTTAGATTTTTATAAATATGACACATTGCAAATTATTGTATTTATAACAAATCATGTTTATGATAGGATATTTTTCAGACCACTTTAGTACATATATATACATTTTGTTATACACATGTCTTTATGGATTCTGTCTCATTGATGTATACCCAACATTTCTTTTTATTCAAGATAACAGAATCACACCTACAATAGAAAGTACATTTGACGTTAGAAAAGTTCTCCTGTGCAAGTATACAATGTATGTTTTCATGTTTCCCTAATTTTATAATTGATTAGTGAGACATTGGTAAACTACTGTCTCCTTAAAATAATTTACACACAGTCAGTCACACACAAACCTGCCTTTGTGGACAATTTACACACAGTCAGTCACACACACACCTGCCTTTGTGGACAATTTACACACAGTCAGTCACACACACACCTGCCTTTGTGGACAATTTACACACAGTCAGTCACACACACACCTGCCTTTGTGGACAATTTACACACAGTCAGTCACACACACACTTGCCTTTGTGGACAATTAACACAGTCAGTCACACACACACACCTGCCTTTGTGGACAATTTACACACAGTCACACACACACACCTGCCTTTGTGGACAATTTACACACAGTCAGTCACACACACATCTGCCTTTGTGGACAATTTACACAGTCAGTCACACACACACCTGCCTTTGTGGACTTGTTTGAGGATTTTTTTTCTGATTTTTCTAGATTTGGAAACTTATTCATTTCTCAGCAAAATTTACATGGGACGGTGTACAAATTTTGTGTAGTCAACATATCTCTTACAGTTTTTAATCAAGATCCTTAACACTTTATAGGCAGAATGTAAGCATATTTAAGTTTGCCCGCTAGCTATTACAAAAGGGAGGAATTTTCCCCCATTCTTCCAAACTTGAAATTTTCAATACCAATCCTTGAAACTTCACAGTTTGTACACCTATTGAAGTTGTGCACCTTCAATTTTGGTTCTTTAAGGATTTATTTTCATCTTTAATACATTTCTATTTATTCAAATCATCATTAACTTCCATTAATCATGTTCATTACTGTTCTTTCATAGACACTGGATTATTAAGAGCTTGTCCTATTTATTGTGGAAGACTGTCCTTCTAGATGTATTTTGATAGACTCCTATTTATTGTGGAAGACTGTCCTTCTAGATGTATTTTGATAGACTCCTATTCATTGTGGAAGACTGTCCTTCTAGATGTATTTTGATAGACTCCTATTTATTGTGGAAGACTATCCTTCTAGATGTATTTTGATAGACTCCTATTTATTGTGGAAGACTGTCCTTCTAGATGTATTTTGATAGACTCCTATTTATTGTGGAAGACTGTCCTTCTAGATGTATTTTGGCTATTTTTGTTGTTTGGTTGCTCTTAGATGTATACCACACACACATCTCCTTTTTTTCATATTCTGTGCAACCTGCAGACATTTGAGTCTTTCGTTCATTTTTTAGTTTTATGTACATCTGTTCTATGATCTGATATGCAAATGAACTACAAAGCAACATATGTATGAAAAAAACAAGTGATGGAAAAAATCAATGTAAATTTAAAACCAATTGTCAATTGGTAACATGTTTTGGATTGATTGATTGTTGGGTGTTTTACACAACTTTCAGCACTAATGGCTATTTTGCTGCGGTCAGTGTTCATTGGTGGATGAAGACAGAGTGCCCAAAGTAAACCTCTGACCTTCTGCAGGAAAACTGACCTCAGTGTTGACAGTCCCCCTATGGGTAAATTCCGAATTCCTGCAAAAATACAGGCCTAATCCGGAATTCCTGCAAAAATAAAGGCCAAATTTCACCGTCCCTAAAAAAGGTCCTTCAGCCCCTCGGATACAGATTTGCCTCTATTGTATCATGGCAATTGAATTCTTTCAACTATATGTCATGGCGGCAGCAATGCTAATTTGAATGATGGTGGAATAAATAGGATGTTTCAATATAATCTATGTAAACTGCTTTTTTATATGCTGTTCAACTACTTTATGTAGTGGGAGATGGTGAACTACAATCATCATGACAGATTTCTTAGCCACTACTATGAACATAGTGGCCAATGGTGAACTACAATCATCATGACAGATTTCTTAGCCACTACTATGAACATAGTGGCCAATGGTGAACTACAATCATCATGACAGATTTCTTAGCCACTACTATGAACATAGTGGCCAATGGTGAACTACAATCATCATGACAGACGACTTAGCCACTACTATCAACATAGTGGCAGATGGTGAACTACAATCATCACAACAGATTTCTTAGCCACTACTATCAACATAGTGGCAGATGGTGAACTAAAATCATAACTACAGATTTCTAAAGCCTTTTTCGTCTTTCTTATTCTGATCCATACAAATTTAAGCGAGGAGATATATTTTGTTTTATTTAAATCTCAATAGGGAAACAATAAAAAAATAAATGTGGATAGTGTCCACATGTGGACACAGATGATGCCCCCACTTGCATATCATATAGTTATAAAGGGACATCACTGAAGAACGGTAAAAGTGACGCTACCCAAATTTGAACTTGATCTGAGTTTTGTGGTAATAAGCATTGTGTGTAAGTCTCATAACATTTGGTTGAGGCTAACTTAAGTAGAGAACAGAAACTTAAAATTCAGCAATTTTTCTATTTGTAAACACACATAACTCTAGAACGATTGTGTATAAGTTTTATAACATTTGGTTGAGACAAACTAAAGTTAGAGAACAGAACTGAAAAGTTCAGCAATTTTTATGTTTATAAAGGGACACAACTCAAGAATGGTAAAAGTGTTGCCACCAAATTTTGTACTTAATCTGTATTATGTAGTAATAAGCATTGTGTATAAGTTTCATATCATTTGGTTGAGGCACTAAAGTTAGAAAATGGAAACAAAAATTTTGTACTTGATCTTAGTTTTGTGGTAATGAATATTGTGTATAGGTTTCATAATGTTTGGTTGGGGCAAACTTAAGTTACAGAATGGAAACTAAAAATTTTGCAATTTCGTGTTATAAAGGGGCATAACTCAATAATGGTTAAAGTGACACTACCCAAATTCAACTTGATCTGTGTTTTATCAGTGGAAGTCTAAATTATACATTGCATTGTATAAAG